AGAGATCTTAAGCAAAGCTTTTAACAAAAGTTCACACACCAAGAAAATAAAAAAAAATTAAATTTAATGCGAAAAAATTCGAGAATGAGAAAAAATCACAACCACACCACTCTTAAAAAATGATTAGAAAGCTAAACTGAAGAAAATAATACAAATTATATCACACTCAAATCTCTTCACAATTTGGACACACTAGGACACTCACATCCACTTATTGTATAAGAGATTACAAAATCCAAAAAAAAGACCCCCAATAGAAAAAACTGCTTAAAATGGTCTGTTTTGCAGCGTTGTAATTACAATACTATATGTTGTAGATACAACATCGATACGCTGCGTGAAAAACAAATTTTTTTGAGTTCAGAGATGCTGCCCTATTGGGAGAGTTATGAATAATTTGTGAAAATATATTCAAGAGATCCAAAATAAAACTTTGAATAAAAGCACACCAAAAAAAACAAAAAAACCACATAAAAGGCTAGATTTAAACAAAAAAAAACTCTAGAACGTGAATAAAGCACGGAGTCACACCACACAAAAGAAAACTCTAAATCCAACTATTTTTTATTGACTATGATAACACAATAAGGACTTTTAAAAATCAATTAGAGGCGTCAAAGCGCCGTGATATGATGCTACGACACTTCAATGGGTGTTTGCATTAGGAGCGTTGCAGTGTCGCACTCTTGAGTTTTGAATATGAAGAGAACGCTGAGACGCTACTGGTCCCGGCGTTGGGCCACCGGGGTGCTCTTCTCCAAGCCCTGGAGAGTCGTTCTCTCGAGTTCTAAATATGAACTGGTTACTGCAGCATTATCTTCTAGAATTGGGGCACTAGGTAGAGAAAAATAAAATTTATGAGTGTGTGGGCTCTAAAAATTACGACTGCTCCCCAATAACTCTTCCCATTTTGTTTTATTATTATTATTATTTATTTTTTTTTGTGAGAGGATTAGGAGGGACAAATTTTCAGAAAACATATTAGATTGTAGATAAGATACTACTCAGATATTTCACCCTCATTTTACGTAGATATTTTGATATGGGGTTCGAGGTTTCCTATAGGCATAAGCTCCTATGATTAATTACTCCTCTCAATACGAGGAGAGTACTTTTGATTAATGTTAATCACTAAAAATTGAGTATTCAACATAAAATAACAACAAATTTAGGATTTAAATTGTAGAATTCACCACTTGAAGTTTAAAACAGATGATTGGGGAAGGAAGACAAAACACAATGAAGATCCATTGGTTTCATCATTCCGGGCTGTTGTGGTTCCCGATCTACTTAGTCAGAGGAGGTAAGTAACCTAACCTTATAGAAGGATTTTTGTCAATTGTTGTAGGTTGCGTCATTCATGACATAAAATTGTTGTAGCGGAATTATAATTGTATCATAGATAGGGCTGTCAAAACGGCTCGTTGTTCGCGAAATGCTCGTGTTCGGCTCGTTAAGAAGCTCGTGTTTGGCTCGTTAGGAAGCTCATGCTCGGCTCGTTTAGTAAGTTAACAAGCCGAACATGAACAACACGAACAAATATTTGCTCGTTCGTGTTCAACTCGTTTTGGCTTGAAATACTACTAATTAATTGTAGACACACACAGTCCTATTTGGAACATTTCCCTTGAATCTTCGCAAAATAGCTCATAACCGCTCATTTATAAGACGATGGTCTTATGTCAAAAATGCTAGACATCAAAGGAAAATAGGAAGTGGTTGGAATTTCTAGAAGGGTGAGTCTCAATTCTAGTTTTCTAAGATGGTCAATAGAAACTCCTAGAGCTAGAACATATGCACTAAGGAGGAGAAGAGAAAACCTCACAAAAATGAGGTCAACAAACACGAACACACTTTTTTAGCTCAAAATATAAACAAGCCAAACACAAGCTAAGCCTGGGCTCACTCATGTTTGGCTCGTTTACATCCCTAGTATGAGGGGACAAATTTAAGTTAACATTAACTAATAGAAGACATTGTGTCAATCAATTGTACACTTATGATTCACAACTCAAAGGCAAAAAGTAATTGATGAACATACGGACTACGACTGTGACCGTAATATAATGGTGTCATTTGACGGCAACCACTCGGTTAGAGGGCTTTAGAAGTAAGGAGGACTCGGTTCACGTATATACTGACATGCAATTACTTTGATTGTGAATATATTAATACATTTCATATGACATTTATTCTCTTTGAGTTGAGGTCAATTGGAAGTTCGTCACCCTCAACAAACCGTTGTGGATGGTGAATAAGATTTATTTGAAGTCTTTAGTGATTGATTTTTAGCTTGAAAATTTTAATTCATTATTTTGAAAGTCTTGATTTAGGTACTTAAGCATTTAAAATTTTTAAATTTTGATATTTGAAGTGGGGATATTTAGTTTTGTCAGGTTTAGAATTTTTGAGTATTAGTTTTGTCGATTTCTATCCTTATAAAGAGGATCGAACTAGATAGTTTGGACTTGTAAATTTTTATTTTAGGATTTGAACATAGGACTTTTTAGACTCGTCAACTTCAATCCTTGCAAGGAGGAAGATTGCACTAGCAGGCTGAGATTTACAACCATGCCCTATAGACAATCGGTCATATTAGCCCGCGCAACATTCTCGAACCTCATATTTAAACATTTAATATTTTGGTTGTAGCACATGCAAACTTTTAACTTTACATGTTAATAAACTTTCAAGTATTTTGCATCTTTTGAGCGACTTAGATGCTAATTTAGAATATGTACTTGAGGGGCATATACAACAATTTGAAATCATGTCTGGCTCATTTATTGATAGTTACCAAGCTTGAACTCATGCAAGTCCTAAAATACTTTCACGTGTCTCCAAGTGTTGTTTTTCTTATTTGATTTAGAAAATATTCTTGAAATTTGTATATCTTGAAATTATTCAAATGTTAAAATATTTTCAAAAATGCTCATGCATTTACATGAATACAAATAAGCTTAAAAAAGGTAGCCTTCTGTCCGCTAGCAGACACATTACTAATTAGGTGGCAATGATGATTAATTTCCGAAAGCTGCACACTTGAATTATTCTTCTCCCCAACCTAAGTCTGGCAAAACTCAACTTTTGAATTGATTTTTTAGACTCCTGAAGCGTGAGTTTAAAGAGCTGAATTTTTAAAATATATTCAAATTCACGAACTTTAAATTTTAAAATCTAAATTTAAGTATTTTAAATCTTGAAAGTTTATATTTTAAAAGTCAAAGATTATAAATTTTTAAAACCTTAAGAATCAAAAGATTAAAAAATCCAAATTTTAAAACAATATCAAGCTTAAAGAGCTTAAATATCAAAAGCCTTTAAAATTCAAAGAGGTCATATTTTAAGGGTTTGAATTATGATTCCAATTTTATTTTATTTTATAAGCCCCGTAATTTCAAATTTTTCTTGTTTACAAGTCCAAATTAATCCAAAAACCCTGCAGCCTCTCGGCTTCAACCCACGTTGGGGGCACTGGAGGACGCCAACCTTCTCAACTATCTTTAGGGACGAGCAAGTTAGTGTCGTGGGTTACTTCGGTCTGGGAGCAATAGTGTAAGTTTAACTCGTGAGCTCAAAAGATGCAACGAGCCTTCAATAAACTTGCACAAAAAATTAGATCATAAACTAATATATTTTAAATGATATTTTACTTTCTCCTAATCATACTCAATTCTCCAAGAACAAGTACTCATTTTCCTTATGAATGCATGCTTTAAAATCCCATTTTCTTTTAAAAAAAAGTTTTCAAAAGTGTCCGCATTTTTTTCCTAAATAGTTTCCTAAATAATCATAAACAAGCATGTGCGATTTCTCAAGTTGATATTTTCAAAAAAATTGCCCTATTTATCCCCAAAAATATACCTCGATCAGGACCACAATAAAACAAAAGAAGCACAAGACACATTTTCTTTCTTTATACAATACATAATAACAGTAAAATTAAAATAAAATGAGCAGTAAACATAAGGGCCTAGTTCGGTTTGGAATGGATATAACAAAAGGGCTCGGTTTGGCTTAAACAGAGGGTTCTTGTGTGGCTTGTGGGAGGAAAAATTATTTTATAGGGATAGCGTGTGCAGAGATGCATGCGTTGTCCAATCTCGATCTTCAATCAGAACAAATGAGTATTTCGGTGAGTCCCATTTTAAAATTTTTTTTTTTAACTTGATCGACGGTCTCTAGGAGGTAAAATTATTGCGTGCGGAGAGCGCATGCAGCCGCAGATCAGGCTTCGCCTGTATGACAGTGGGGCCCATTTTCATATAGATCTGCACGGTCACTACTCTAGGAGAGGCGAAGTAGGTTAGGGCACATAATAACCCCGGGAAAGAAGATTGAGCGAACAGGCGTAGGAGGTGCGACGAAGGTTGGCTTGGGGAATCCGGCGAGGGGATCGCAGCACAGGGAAAGGTTTTCGGGATCGTGAGACCTTGATAGGGAAGGAGATTGCAGAGGGAAGATCACGTGCTATTTAAGCGACCAAAAAGGATCCGATGAGGAGATGGTGTAGCTTTGGGTGTTCGGTTCACATGAACAGGAGTAGGGAAAACAAAAGAATATAAGAAGAATTTGCGGCTTATGTTGCAAACTATGGAGTTTGAGAATGACGGAATGAGACAGAAGGCGTTCAAAGATGAGAGTGATTGTCTTCGTATGTTGTGATTGCATCGTTAGTTTCCATGCTAGCACTAGTGTGGACTATACCATGAGGGATTCTGTTCAAAGACAAGAAGTCTCGATTGTTTGCTTCAATTTCGAAGGAGGTCTTCGCATCCTGCGTCCCCATCGTTGCTTCTCTCTCGTGCCCTAGTCACGAATATATCCCTCAATAAATTCACCATCAAGCTTGATTTGTGAGATTGAGTTTGAGCGTCCAATAGATTAACACATTTAAACTCCACATATCAACACAACCCCGCCAATATCTCCTCCAGCAAACTCACCACCACACTTGATAGATGAAATTAAGGGATCTAAGTTGACAATTACAGGGACCTAAGTTGACAGTTAATCAACACATTCAAAATCCACATAACAGCACATCCGATTTAATTTTTACATACATATCATCTTATTTATATATAAAAATATATTTTTATTTTTTTAAATGTATAAAAAATGAGTTTTTTATGTGATACGAAAATTTTGAATGATATAATATTTGAAAATAGATCACATTTGGGCCAAAGATAAAATAACGCATAAGCTCTCCAAAACGGAATCCAAGCTTCTCGCAAAAGCCCGTTATTTCACATCGATAACATGTTGGACGTTTGGCACAATAGATGTTGCCACAGAGGGGGGGTCTGTACACGAGCCGAGCTTGAGCAAGCTCAGGCTAAGCTCGTGTTCGGCTCAAATTAAATATTTGTGTTTGTGTTTGACTCGAAATTGCTCGGAAAAATTAAATTAAAAAAAATAAATATAAAGTGTGGGATTCGAACATGAACCAAATGTATACAAAAAAACACTAACCACATTATCACAAGTGATATTATTTAAACTTAAATATAAATATATATAAAATCTTATTATATAAATAATTATATATATATTTTTTAATTTCGAGCTAAAACAAGCCGAACACGAGCGAACAAAAAATTATTCATGTTCGACTCGTTTACTTAGCGAACGAGCTAAACACAAACTGCTTAAGGAGCCGAATACGAGATGTTTCCGAACAACGATCTTTTTTTTGACAGTCCTACAAAACCTCGTTAAGCCTTTATAGCTATGATCACATTAATTGGCGCGTTTTCGTTCCTTCTTTATTTTAACGAACATATATCCAGTTCAGTGCAATTACCGAGTTGAAGATTTCCTATCAGAAGAAGTGCGTGAGGTTTCTATGAAAAGATGCATGACCATAGAAAAGCTTATTGTTGCAATTATTATATGAATATTACACTGTTCCATGCCCTGAAGATTTTCATTGATCATCACGTTAGTTTGGATTTCGTACAATCTAAACTTACCAGCATATGTCGCTACTCAAGAACTAGAATTGAAAGCTACCAGACAGCATAAAGATAAAATTGGAAATAAGTACTCATGATCCGCAGAATATAACTCTGCAAAACCTCAGAATGCCTCCCACCAAACATTTTCCTCAAGTAAAAGCTCTAGGGTTTGGTTGGGCAAAGGGAAGTAATACAAATAACGCTTAAAAATGGATGATAAAGCAAATATCAGATTAGGTCATGATAATAGAATTCTGATGAATTTAGGGGCATTTTGGGCCACCCCTCTTGGTCTTCCAGTTGTTGTAGCAGGGGCAGACCCCCTTGTTACCGTAATATCCCGGAGGCACGCATAGGCACTTGCTGCAGCACTTGTTGCAGAAGAAAAGGCATGGTTTCTTGTATTGTGTCTGGGAGCATCTCCTGCTACACTGAGAGGGGCATTCTGTAGGAGATGGCAGGATATATTAGCATGAAGTAAAAGAGTTATGGTTTAAATCCTTGTAAATGATGGGACTTTCATCAAATGTTCTAACATTAAAAATAGTGACCATTTTAGATAGCAAAAGCGTAAATTAATATATATAAAGCACTCGAAACTTGATAATACAAGAATTTTAGTGCTGATAAGTTCATTTTTTGGTTTGAGAGGTAGAGAAAATTTGAGTTAGGATATATTAAAATGTTGATTAGAATGTTTCTCAACTAAAATTAATCAAGAAAGGTCAAATCTTTCATATTGCATTCATCTCGGAATGCATTCAACCATGAACTCATGGTGGGTTGATCCACGATTCCACGCTAAAGATGTGATCTTTTTTTTGACAGTCCTACAAAACCTCGTTAAGCCTTTATAGCTATGATCACATTAATTGGCGCGTTTTCGTTCCTTCTTTATTTTAACGAACATATATCCAGTTCAGTGCAATTACCGAGTTGAAGATTTCCTATCAGAAGAAGTGCGTGAGGTTTCTATGAAAAGATGCATGACCATAGAAAAGCTTATTGTTGCAATTATTATATGAATATTACACTGTTCCATGCCCTGAAGATTTTCATTGATCATCACGTTAGTTTGGATTTCGTACAATCTAAACTTACCAGCATATGTCGCTACTCAAGAACTAGAATTGAAAGCTACCAGACAGCATAAAGATAAAATTGGAAATAAGTACTCATGATCCGCAGAATATAACTCTGCAAAACCTCAGAATGCCTCCCACCAAACATTTTCCTCAAGTAAAAGCTCTAGGGTTTGGTTGGGCAAAGGGAAGTAATACAAATAACGCTTAAAAATGGATGATAAAGCAAATATCAGATTAGGTCATGATAATAGAATTCTGATGAATTTAGGGGCATTTTGGGCCACCCCTCTTGGTCTTCCAGTTGTTGTAGCAGGGGCAGACCCCCTTGTTACCGTAATATCCCGGAGGCACGCATAGGCACTTGCTGCAGCACTTGTTGCAGAAGAAAAGGCATGGTTTCTTGTATTGTGTCTGGGAACATCTCCTGCTACACTGAGAGGGGCATTCTGTAGGAGATGGCAGGATATATTAGCATGAAGTGAAAGAGTTATGGTTTAAATCATTTACATCCTTGTAAATGATGGGACTTTCATCAAATGTTCTAACATTAAAAATAGTGACCATTTTAGATAGCAAAAGCGTAAATTAATATATATAAAGCACTCGAAACTTGATAATACAAGAATTTTAGTGCTGATAAGTTCATTTTTTGGTTTGAGAGGTAGAGAAAATTTGAGTCAGGATATATTAACATGTTGATTAGAATATTCTCAACTAAAATTAATCAAGAAAGGTCAAATCTTTCATATTGCATTCATCTCGGAATGCATTCAACCATGAACTCATGGTGGGTTGATCCACGATTCCACGCTAAAGATGTGGTTAATGAAGAGCATGATTAACAATCATAAAATTGCTTAATATTCCATTTAAGGAAATATTGAATTTCAAATATTCCTTTGATTCACATGTTATAGTTTAGAAGGGCATACGTTATTCATTAAATCTTAAATTAGGTTATGATGAACTTTCCACAAGAACCTATAGCAATATATGTGGGGGCAGATCCATTTTCTTCTATTTTTTTTATTTAATTTACTTTTATTGATGTTTTAATTTAAAACTAAATATATTTAACCTGATAAATTTAAACACATTTTATCTCTATTTTGTCGTAGGGTTGGATCTATTTTTAAAAAGTAATTTTAAATATTTTTTAAAACATATTTACTTATTTAAAAAAGAAAATTACAAAATAAATTTAGAACAAATATATTTTTAAAAGCAAAAGAAAAAAGAAAAAAATTAACTTTTTAAACGTTTGTTTTATAAATAACAAAGTTTCTAGAGCTCCCTAAGTAGTTTTCTTTTTTTTTTTAAGTACAAAATGACGAAATAATTATTTGAACATGTCAAAAACAAAAAAAAGAGAAGGATATCACTCACGGTAAATCCTCAGACTTCGTTGTCCATACTTCGCCTGTTAGGCATAAAGAGGAGAGAAATACTCATTACCTAGTAGAGGGCACGACAGAAATGAAGATTAAAGTCGTTCAGATACACATAGCACTTTACCTTGTTCGGAAGATATTGCTCTGCATCATCATTGGCCTTATTTGCCCAAACCTTCAAAGTAAGAAATGGAAAATAACCGATTTATTAGAATGCACATCACTAAGGCATCAAACCCCTGTATTTATCTACTGACAGCCTACTTTAATAACTAAGGCTCACCACAGAGTTTGATTCGGCCATCAAAATGGCGAAGATAGCAACAAACAAGAAGAAAAGAAAGTTAGCTGCAATGGCCATTGCTGCTCGAGAGCGAGATCAGGAAGAAGCAGCTTAGTAAAATAGAGTTGTAAGAGGATGCATATAAATGCATCGAGTTGGGGGGCTTAAATAGAGAAATGAAGCAATGGTTGCAGACCTCTCAGACAAGAAGCCCTTATCCTTGGAAGGAACTACACTATCTACCCCTGCAGTTCCACAATATCTTTGGACTTATGTATGCTCTACCTAACGGTAATCTTCGATTTATCTATATAAATATTATCATTTTATATAATGTTTGAAAAATTATTTTTCACCTTTTAAAAATAAACTAATAACATTTTAAATGTGATATATCAAATGTATGATAAATATAGAAAAAATAAATTTTTGAAATTGATATGTAAAAAATTAAGTATTTAGTAATATTTATGTAAATGCCGTTAAATCTTTTGTCTTCTCTGGGACTCCAATTTTTTTTTTTTTTTTTTTTACATTTTAAATGTGATATATCAAATGTATGATAAATATAGAAAAAATAAATTTTTGAAATTGATATGTAAAAAATTAAGTATTTAGTAATATTTATGTAAATGCCGTTAAATCTTTTGTCTTCTCTCTGACTCCCATTTTTTTTTTTTTTTTGAGAAGTTTAGTCTTGTACGCATGATTACCACCGCAACGCTTTGGGTCCTCATTTTTTGAATAAGATATAATTTGTTTAAATTTACATTTTTAATTATTTTTAAAATATATGTACCATGTAAATAATTTATTAATATTTTGTTACAATAATCAAAAATTAAAATAGTCCTGAATATTAACATAATTACTTATAAAAGTAAATTTTGTATTACAATCCATGTAAAATAATGGCAATGACATTCATCCTCTGGTTCCTTGTTTTATTTGTACAGATTTCATTTTTCAATTGTACAGGAAAAAAAAAGTAATGGTCTTTTTTTTAGTTGATCAGATTCTTCTGTAAGGCTCTCCCAGGTTTAATATTAAACCAAGTTATAAAATTCTTGAGCAACGCTAATCATGCAGGAGACTCCGGACCAAAACCCTAAACGTCCTGGTGGGGTAGAGTAATGGTCAATACGATATCTTACCCGCTGCCAAAAACACTGGCGTAGTGGCAGATGTGTCAGAAAGGGGCATTAAATTTGAAAGCTCGCGGTTGAAGGGCAATTTTTTTACCGCAAAAAAAATCTATATATAATTTAATTTGGGTATATTTTTTTTCTAAAAAAATATATATAATATTATTCTTTGTTTTAATTATGTAACTGAGAAGGTAGACAATGTTGGATATTTAGAAAAGTGAAAGTATAAATTTACTTTCTTGAATGCTACTGTTTGATTACAGCAATCTCCGCTAGCAATTATTCTCAAATTCCTAGTGGAAGGGGGCTTAACACAATACACCAAGCATCCCTACGAACCAATTCTGGTCTCTGTGTAGCTATTTATTGTATTAAAATCATTCACCATCTTTTTTATAGTCTTGTCTTACACTGACAACATAAATTTATCATCTAAGGATTAATATTTGTCAGGCAGAATAGAAGAGCTGGCAGGCAGATCGGTAAAGACAAGCCGATCGAATCAAGTCCTACCAACCCTAAAATTATCAAAGACTGGTCGGTAACATCGATTTAGTACAGTCATACGGGCAGGTCTTGCATAACCAAAGACCAGTTGATTTCAACCGACCGAACTAGTGCGAAATAGAGCAGAAACCGAAAAAATATTAGTAATCTAGTGCGAAATAGAGCAGAAACCTAAAATATTATGTAAAACTCAAATAAACTAAAAAATAAATATATGACTTCATATACTATAAATAATATTTTTTTATAGAAAAAAAAAACTAATCAATAATCTGAATTTCTATACATTTTGTGCACTTTTTTTATTTCTGTTTTTTTTTAATCTCCTTGATCTCGTGCTTTACTTCTTGCATATGCAGATGTATAAAAATTTTGCGATACTGGTCAGTCTGTCGATGTTGTGGAGCTATGATCGGCTCGCCATGTCTTTCCGTTAATCGAGATTTTATATCCATCTACACATATTTTGATGCCAGGGGTCACGGAGTTTGCAGCGATTTTGACAATTTAGAAATAAGTGAAGCGGAAGGGCTTCTTTGCGTCCATATTACTGCGGCGATCACATGGAGTGGGGGGCAGCATTTAGCACCTTTCAAGGATAAATTAATGGGATATGTGACGGAGCATGTGCTACTCAGGAAAGAATTACAAAATCACAAGGCATGGGGATGGTGGGGTAACACTGGCATCATTGCATGCACGTCGTGTTCTCATATACTTTAATAATAATGGTAACACCGCGGTCTTTTAGTCAGTTAGCATAGAAAATTATGCCGCACATCTTTTCAATAGTTGGTAAAATTATTTCTACCGCTCCCCCCGCTTCGTATATGTGCTATCCGTCGCTCTAAAAATTAAACCCGTGTCGAAGGAATTTGCGACTCACATAAGGTGCATGTATGTATGTATGTATGTATGTATGTATGTATGTATGTATATATGCATGTGTATGTATGTATGTATGTATGCATGTATGTATGTGTATGCATGTATGTATGTGTATGTATATACATATTTATACATATATATATACATATGTACAAATTTGCAACTCACATAAGGTGCATATATGTATGTATGCATGTATGCATGTATGCATGTATGCATGCATATATATATATATATATATATATTACAAAAATTTTTTGAAATTTTAGAGTCTTTTACATCAAACA